TTCCATCTTGAATTTGGCTTTTTATTGGTTAATCAAAGTGAGAAAATTGGGAATTTTGGAAAAAACTATTCTAAAATAAAAAATAGAGATTTGAACCCCGATTCGGAGTCCAATTTGGATAAAACTTGCACATTTGAACTCGTATTCGAATGGGTACTCGAGATTTGTAAATTTTATCGGGTTCCGGGAGGCGAGTTCGGAGTGAATTTTTGATATTTGATAAAGATCAGAGCTTTCTTACTTGAAATCAATTTCTATAGTCGTATTTGATATTATTGAGTTGTTTTTAGGCTATATTTGACCCTTTCGGAGGCCGATTCGATAGGCAAGGGCTTTTTAAAGTATTGATTTGCCTTATTTGAGGTAAGTATCTTGCCTAATCTTGTGGGGTGGGGGAATACCCCTTATGATTTGTCCTTAATTATTATTCGTGTTATGTGAAAAGCGACGTGTACATGAGGTGACGAGCGTGTACATGGGCGTTATATACGGCTTATGACTAGATTAGACCTTAGGCTATTAATATGCCTTAATTTGGAAATGTCCTCTACATGAAACATACTTAATCACTTTGTGACTACATGAACATAATCTTTTCAATTGAATTAGTCGTAGTCATGCTTTATATGTTGAATACCCATCCACATTTTTATTGTTATCATGTCCTTGTGCACCTTGTTGATAAATTGTGAGCTAGTATTTGATGAAACTTGACATTATTGTTTTGTTATAATTGTGACACATATGGACATGTTGGCGGATTGTTTGGGTGTTGGCACGAGGTTTCTGTCGTACGATTGTGATTGTTATTGTGACAGTTCTGAGCGATACATATGGATATTGTTATTGTGTCAAGGCCGAGCGAAACAGATGGATATTGTTATTGTGTCAGGGTGGAACGACACGGGTGGATATTGTTGTTATGTCAGGGCGGAGTAATACAGATGGATATTGTTATTATATCAGGGCAGAGCGATACAGATGGATATTGTTATTGTGTCAGGGTGGAACGACACGGGTGGATATTGTTGTTATGTCAGGGCGGAGTAATACAGATGGATATTGTTATTATATCAGGGCAGAGCGATACAGATGGATATTGTTATTGTGTCAGGGTGGAACGACACGGGTGGATATTGTTGTTATGTCAGGGCGGAGTAATACAGATGGATATTGTTATTATATCAGGGCAGAGCGATACAGATGGATATTGTTATTGTGTCAGGGTGGAACGACACGGGTGGATATTGTTGTTATGTCAGGGCGGAGTAATACAGATGGATATTGTTATTATATCAGGGCAGAGCGATACAGATGGATATTGTTATTGTGTCAGGGTGGAACGACACGGGTGGATATTGTTGTTATGTCAGGGCGGAGTAATACAGATGGATATTGTTATTATATCAGGGCAGAGCGATACAGATGGATATTGTTATTGTGTCAGGGTGGAACGACACGGGTGGATATTGTTGTTATGTCAGGGCGGAGTAATACAGATGGATATTGTTATTATATCAGGGCAGAGCGATACAGATGGATATTGTTATTGTGTCAGGACGAAGAGATAAGTTTAGGTATTGTTATTTTGTCAGGGCTGAGTGATGCAGATGGATATTGTTATTGTGTTACGAGGTATCATACGTTTGTGTTTCTATTTGATAACTTTTTGTCAAGATGAACCTTTACTTGCATTGAGTTGTTATCATATGTTCCAAAGAGATTGTTGATATTATTTTCTATTATACATTCTATTTCTAGTCTTTGATATATTGTACAGCTTATTTGACTAGTGAGTATCAAATGACTTGAACCTCATCACTACTTCACCGAGGTTAGTCTTGATACTTACTGGTATCGATAGTAGTGTACTCATACTATAATTCTACATATTTTGTGTAGATTTAGGTGTTGGAGGCAGCGGACCTAGGCAGTGAGGCTTACATTGACCGCAAGGATTCAAGGTAGACCTGCATGACCGGCGCATTCCCTTGGAGTCCCTTCCCTATATTTATATTGTTATTTTCATATTCAAACAGTATTGTAATTTAAGACATCCTTATATATTCAGTCAGAGCTCATGACTTTGTACTACCTAATTCTNATTGTAATTTAAGACATCCTTATGTATTCTATCAGAGCTCATGACTTTGTACTACCTAATTCTGGGGAAATATTTGAGTATTGCCATTTTGGCTGATGTTAACTCTATTTTCTGCTTTCATATTAAACTCTGCCTTATTATATCATGTTTTGCTGATTTAAATATTGTTAAGTGGTCGACTTACCTAGTTTTATAGACTAGGTTCCATCAAGACCCCTATGGTGAGATTTGGATCATGACAAGTTGGTATTATAGCTCTAGGTTCATAAGTTCTACGAGTTGTCATGAGCAGGTTTAGTATAATCTTGTCGATCGGTACAAAGACATTTGTACTTATCTTTGAGAGGCTACCGAACTGTTAGGAAACATCACCTTCCTTCATTCTTTATCATGTCGATTTGTTATTCCAAAGTTTGAACCTTTACTCTTCTATTCTCCCATAGATGGCGAAGACACGCTCTACCAAATTAGCTAAGCAGGCACAAGTGCCCGCTATTAGAGTCGCAAGAGGCCAGGGCCGAGGTAGAGGCCGAGGAGGGGCACATGCTATAGCTAGAGTAGCAACGGTGGATCTCCAACAGATCCAGTTGAGGATTAGGAGCCCGAGCAGGTTGAGCGTGCACCTGAGCAGCCTATTCCTACACTGGCGCTCTAGGAGACCTTGGCATACTTCATGAGTATGTTTGTGAGTTTGGCCGAGGAAGAGTTGATTCTGGTTGCACCAGCTACTTCATATACTGGGGGAGGAGCTCAAACTCACGCAGCCCGCACACCAGAGTAGCCGACTCATGCTTACCAGACACTGGGTGTTGTGTTGGTGCAGCCAATAACGGCAGTTCAGCCCGAGGTAGGGCCAGTTGTCTCGGCTGAGGGACAGAGGTGTTTGGAGAGGTTACTGAAGTTTCATCCTCCCTAGTTTAGTGGAGGGACTTCTGAGGATGCACAAAGTTTATTGGATTAGTATCATCGCATTCTACGTACCATAGGTTTGGTGGAGTCGAGGGGGGTCAACCTTACTACTTTTCCAGTTGACGGGTTCGGCATACATATGGTGGTAGATTTATGAGGCGAGTATGATAGTTGGCGCAACACCATTTACATGGTCCCTATTCTCTGATCTTTTCTTGATGGAGCTTAGACCTGCAGGGATGAGTTGTGCAATGAGTTTGAGCAGTTGCGCCAGGGGAGCATGACTGTGTCCGAGTATGCTATGAGGTTTACGGAGTTATCTCGTCATGCACCTTCCTTGGTTTCCACTGATAGAGAGAGAGTTCGTAGATTTATTGAGGGACTCGCCTTTAGCCTCAGATATGGTATGGCACGGGAGTTAGAGACTGAGATTGCATTTCATCAGGTTGTGGAGATTGCTAGGATGTTAGAGCGTATCCGCTGTCAGGAGAGGGAGGATAGGGAGGATAAGAAGCCTCGTGGTTCTGGAGGATTTAGTGGTTTTTACTATACAGCTTAGACCCTTTATGGCAGAGGCTTTGTCAGTCGACTAGTTCAGTATGCACCTCACATTTCCTGTGGTGCTCCAGCTAGCCATGGATCTTAGAGCACTCGTACCGGACATATTTCAGTGTGCCTTCTGCATGAGGTTCCTAGAGTGGTCATTCCAATCGTCACGGGCAAACTCAGTACCAGCAGCAACGCTCGCATAGAGGTTATTTAGAGTGTGATGATACTAGGGACAAGGTGAGAGATTGTCCCAGACTTAAGATGGATGGACCTCAGCAAGGTACTAAGGCTACAGTTCCCGCTCCAGTTGCTACTTCACCTGCACAGCTAGCTGGAGGTGGAGGACAGGCGGGTAGAGGTCATCATAGAGGAGGAGGCCGAGCTCGTTGTTATTCTTTCCTTGGTAGGACTGAGGCAGTTGCTTCAGATGCAGTTATCACAGGTATCATTCTGATCTGTCATAGAGAGGCATTAGTTTGATTTGATCTGGGTTCTACATATTCGTATGTGTCATCCTACTTTTCTTCATATTTGGATATGTCTCATGATTCTCTCAATACTCCTACTTATGTGTCTACACCCGTTGGGGATTCTATTGTGGTAGACTGTGTCTATTGTTCTTGTTTTGTCACTATTGGGGCTACGAGACTAGGGTTAATCTTTTGTTACTTAATATGGTAGATTTTGATGTTATTTTGGGTATGGATTGGTGATAAGTGTGGATTTTGACCACTTATTAGTACCTTCTTGCTTTAGTTTTAGTCCAAAAGTATTGATTTATGTTCCCAAAACTAATAAAAGTCTGCAAATTACAGGAATGTTGGAAATTTGTACTCTAATGAAGAAATTCAACTCAAAAAGGAGTGTTCCGGCTCACAAGGCAAGAAGGAGCGCAGTAGAGCAGAAGTGCGGTCCGCAAAAGTATTTCTGTGGCCGTAGAGGAAAGTGCGGACCATATAATTCTCTCTACGGCCATAGATCTAATGTAGAAGCCTAGAAGTGATTGAAGAGAATTGCAGACCGCACACAATTTGTGTGGCCGCAGAACATAGTTGCACTGAAAAGAATACAAAAAGTTCAGAGAGCGTGCAAAATGAACAAGACTGAAGCCTTGCCAGAAGTGCGGACTGCACATGAATTGTGCGATCGTAGAAGCTGAAGTGCAGCTGCAGATCAAATTGTGCAGCTACAGAATACCTGCAGGCTCAAGCAATGTGAGGACCGCACATGGCTGCTTCTCATATGGCTGCTTCTCATATGGCTGCTCCTTTTCATGTTTTAAAATATGTTAAAGGTACTTTGAGTCAAGGTTTGTTCAGGAGTGCAGATTTTGATTTTACTCTCCAAGCTTAATGTGATTCTGATTGGACTACTTGCCCTAATTCCCGAAAATCTGTTAGTCAAATACAAATAAAGAGATTTGTATAAATTTTAAGAACCAAATAAAAAAATTGGCTCAGAAATTGTAATTAATTTCATAGTAATGCATGAATAGAAACATGTTTACATCTTATACAATTAAGATTACTTCTTAATTAACTTCAGTAATGCATGCATGAATAGAGCATAAATTTATGATCATCGAGCACTAAGCAGCATTTAAGCTTTTGTTTCTGGAGCACACACCATCACTTTTACGATTGCGCACTGCCTTCAAATTTGTTCACGAGACCTGTTTTTTTGTAACTGAATATTTTGTTCAACGCCTCAACATAGGCTTGGACACTTGAAACGACAATGTCCATATGCGCTCCTGTTCCACTGGCAATATAACATAGTGTTAGAGAAAATAAAGGTCCTAAGTTCAAATCTCTCAGCTACTCAAAATGTAGAACGATCCCATGTAACAAAAATTAGGCTAAGAGGTGAGTAAACGTGTTGAGGCATGCATAAATATAATTAAATAATTAAAACTTTTAGTCTAAGCTACTCATAGAGTTACCTGCAATTGTCTTGTAAGCGCTCTGATTGAGTAAATATTTTTATACCTTCAGCGTATATAAAACTTAAATTACCTATCCTACTAGTGTGACAAGATACAAACATTATGAGAGTTTTCAGTTTCATTATAAACCTTTACAATGAGGTCAACTGCCTTGTAAGCTGCATCAACAGGTCCTGTTCCAACAGAAAAGGCAGTGTGCTCTTGACCATCGCTGTCAATAAGCTTAACATTTGCTGTAGAGCGGCCAACATTTCCACAAGTAATCTGTACAATAAACAGCAAATCATTAGATTTAGGTGAACATTAATTCCTTTTCAATCCACAACTAAGTGAGACTAGCAAAAACCTAAGTTGCTCAGATACGGGTACGGGTATCCGATACAGGTGCAGATCTAGAGGTCGGATCCTTCGAGATGTAAATTCTAAGATTTTGGGATACTGATCCTAATACGGATACGGGTGCGGGGATCCGACTAAAAATAATTCAATTAAATAAAAATATAAAAATATATCTAAATTACGAGAAATTTTGTGGAATACTTACGTATAACTTGTAATGTGTGGATTTATTTTTTATTCTCGAGTTGTAGATAAGTAAAGGATTGATTTCCTAGATAATGTATGCTATTTTGTTCAAATTCACCCTAGCTTTGGTTCTGATTTCGGGAATCAAATTGTATCTTATCTCTAATTTTTTCGTACGCTGCGGTCAAAGTACCCAAAATTATTTGACCAGATCCGGTACGGATCTCACATCCACACTCATACTAGTGTCTTGCCGACACGGGCGTGTCACCTAAACTGCCGTGTCAGAGCAACTTAGGCAAAAACACATGAAATAGTATTTACATGTACCTGTACATCTCCAAGTTGCCAGGAAACTTGAGGCTGGAAAACGTCATCTGATACAAGTGCTCTCAAGTCATCATCTGTAATTTTCTGAAAAATAGATGTAGGGAAGATAAATAGGCGGACATACATATTCATTATACCGACACAGGTAAAATTTTAATTAGGTAAGCTTCACCAAAGAACTGGAAAACCTATAGGGTTAATTTCATATATAAATATAATGACATAACTTTACTCACTATAAAATAAGGCTACTTTAGACTAAGAGACACCTCGACTTATTCGGCTTTGCTATTACGATCCCCCTACTCCACATAGTTTCAATCAGGTACTTGAACTTGTATAAGACATTAGTTTTAAACCCATATGACCATTGACCAAGCTTATACGGCCTTTGTTTTGTTGAGTCAAGCAAAATAAGTGATTGCACACTCCTAAAAGCAAGTAACTATACAAAATTTGATTAGAAAATAATATAAGAGAAAAATAAAAAATTAAAAAAATTAAAAACAATGCTAGCCATTATCTCGCCCCTCTATCCCATCCGCTTCTTCTTACCCCCAAATCCCTTAAAAACGCCATTGAAATTGGCACGCTCCACACCCTCTAATATTAAATTTTTGTTTCTCAAGTAGAGTTTTCTCAAATAACATTACATTATTTCTCTTACAATCTTAGCAATCAACTGGACTATGATAAAAAACAAAAAGGTGTAGCATAACAACATCAAACTAATAGAGCTTAGCAGAGCAGCTAGTCAAGGAACAAAGTTGTTTAATTTTTGTTTTTTCTCAAAATAACTGAAGAAGACAATAAAGACGTCGGAGAATTAAGAGACATTGAAGCTTGAAAATAGTGTTTAAGCCAAAAATTGGGTCGTCATCGGTTGTTGAAGACGTCGAAGCTTGATTTTGTTAGTTTTATAAATTTTGCCGTAGCTAGAGGGGTTAATAAGAATTTTGAGGTACCAAATATTAAGTAAAAATTTCTTCTCTTTCTTTTTCAATTTTTGGGTTTTTCTTTGGGTGTTTGGCTAGAAAGAAAATTGAAGGATAAATTTTCTTAAACTCGTTCAATGTCTAGGTTTTGAAAGGGTGACATGAATATGAAGAGAAGAGGAGATATAGTGGTGGTTTTGGAGTGGTTGCTGGCGATGGTGGCAACAGAACTTCCATGGGTGGTTGAATAGATTGTAGTAATGGAGAAATTTAGGACAAAAAAAAAAGATAAAGTGGTTTGATTGAGTGTTTTCTCATGGAAGAGGAAGGGTGCAGTGTTTGGTAGTGGCGGTGATGGGTGGAAGAGGCAGATATGGAACGGTGGAGAGAGAACTAAGGTTTGTTTTCTTTTTTTGGAGAAAAAGGGATGAGTTTGATATTTTTATTAAAAAAATATTTTTTGTAAAAATAGATAATGACGTGGCATTAAATGTATCTGAGGTGACTCTGATGTGTCATTTATATCAGCGCGAGTGGACAACACACAGTATCAGAGGTGTTTAAAACTAATATTTTATACAAGTTCAAGTGTTTGGTTGAAACTGTGGAGTAAGGGGACCGAGATGTCAAAGCCGAATTAGTGAGATGTCACTCAGGCTATTCTGCTAATTTATCAAAAAAAGTTACTTAATTTTATCCACTATAACAGTAAAATCACAAAAATCTACCTATTAGACCAGTACTTAAAGTCACCTTGAATATGGATAGGTTTTCCCACTATAGTGCGTAAAGTTTAGTGGTTTTCTTTTATTATGAATAGTAAGTAAAATTCAGTTACTTTAATGTGATAAAAAATAATTTTTTCATTTATTACTATGTGGTGATGCTTGGATGTTTGAGAGTCAAAGAAATTTTTCTTTGGCCGTAATTTTTCATATGTTTTTCAAATATTTTTAATTGTTAGTTCAGTCATTTTAATGTGAATAAATAAAATTAAATTTTATTATTATAATAGAAATTAGTGATCATACTTAAAATTAACTCAAAAAATATGAACAAACACTAGGAACGAAAAGGTGCGATCACAAGTTTGACCATTGCACTATGAAAGATCAGCAACTTAATCACCTTTTTCCTCTCAGCCAGTGACTTGAATCGACGAAAGAGGTCATCAAGTTCTTTTCCATCAAAGTCATATCCAAGCTGTAACAAAAATAAAATGATTTGATCCAAGTCCATATACTATAATATTTGTAGTATATCGTACTATAGATTATGTATCTTACCTCAGCCATTTTGGCTTTCAATGCATGGTGGCCACTGCACAAAATATTCACCATGTTACAAAATATATTCCTTAAAAGGAAAGAGGTACATCAATGCGCCTAATGTAAATGAGAAAAATGGAGGGTTGGGGTTGATTCAATACAATGGAGGTACTGAAATTCTAAGGGATAAAACGAGTTTTAAAGTGTTTGACACTACTAAAAATCTGATAAAAACTGACCAAATATTTCCGACCAACGTTGGTCGGTAAAAAAAAAAGCGACCAAAAACCGTCCAGCTTGGACGAAAACTGGAAACAAAAAATTTTACATTTTTTTTGAACTAAATACCGACCAACGTTGGTCGGCAAAATTGGTCAACGAATTGACCTGCTGGTCAGACAAGAAAATTTTGGATTACCGACCAACGTTGGTCGGTAATCTGGACCCAATTTTTAAAATTTTAATAATTATTTTATTATTTAAAATATTTTATAATATTTAAGAATTTATATTTAAAATTATCGACCAACGTTGGTCGGTTAATGCAGGGAAAGTATTTACCGACCAACTTTGGTCGGTAATTGATATTTTCTGTAAAATAACCGACCAAAGTTGGTCGGTTATTACGTCAACATTGGTCAAACTTTC